ATGGATAGTTTCGAACTTCCGTTCTCCCGAATGTGAATCCAGCGCCCTACCAACCAGGCTCTCCCGGTCCCAAAAAAGACTATTAAAAACATTTAATTAGAAAAATGAAAATGTTTCATCGCTTTATCATTAATAATCTTAAATAAGATTTTATGTCCGACAGTTGAATTCGCAGTCCTTGTTCTATATCTAGTCTAGTTATGAATTTTTTTTTTTTTTGGTGCATTTGCAAAAGCTGAAAAGGATTAAAATAAGACGAATTATGGTATATTTCGAAATGAAAATTTAAAAGAACTGCTACATTCGTTGAAAATTGTTATTATGGAAACATATTTCTTTATTAAAGAATGAAGTTATTTTGATTTAAATATAAAGAAATACTACTGGGATAATACGTAAATACTTGCTTTTCATAATTTGTTCAATATATTGTTATTAGAAATTTTATATTTTTCCTTTAAAAATACCATTTCTATTTCATTTAGAATTATTTTGTTTTTTTAAATTTTTCATGTAAGTAGGATTAAATAAGTTAGGAATTATAGTTTTGATCTACATATAATCAGAGATTTCAAAACTCATCATAGGTTATAAAAAGTGCTGATTCACCGAACCCCTCCAACTCTTCCACGGAACCATAGAATTCTAAAAACGCCATTTTGGAACCGCTGGTCTAAAGACAAGTTTTCAAAATTAGTTAGTTCTTTATATTGAAAAGAAAGAAGAATAAGTGGAAAAAAAATACAAAAAGGGAAGACATCAGAATCGAGAGGCGCATTTATTTCACAAAATTTTAACTGAATAGTTGGAAATGTGCGGTTCTTGTGTATTTTTGGATGAAAATAGCCAATCATAATTATTTTTATTTACCATGCACTATTTTTCCAAAAATCCAGTTTTTATCTAAACGACATAGTGTATTTTAATAGCACATAATAACTTACAAGCAAATGGGATCATTACCAACCTAGAGGACATTTTGGTTTTGATATAAGCATCAAGCACCTCTTTTTTTATACAGAATTTTATCTAAAGGATAGGGAAAAACGTTCTAATTTGTTTTGATCAACTGCTTAATTTATAAAAGACAGGTTTCATTTTTGTTAAGAGTTTTAACGATGATAACTTCAGAACACTCTAAATAGCATGTCAATTCAGATAAGGAGCAGAAAATAATAAATGTTTATTCTTACTTTTACTAATTAATTCCGAAACTAATTTGCGTTCGATATTTATTTACTTTTAATAACTTTAAAACTCACTTTTTAATAATTATTTCCACTGCATTACCAGCTTGTTTTATAAGATGATATGCCTTATCAATAGTCATTGCTTTTGTGCTGCGACCAGCTACTTGCAGCACAGAATCACCAGCGTCCATATAGAAACTGCATAAACTTCCATCCGACACCTAACAAAAAAATAAAATATAAAATAAAAATTTACTTTTCAAACTTTTTTTTAAATATTAAGAGTTAAATGCAAACACTCGGCTGCCTTTTTATCACTTTAAAAAAAATTCATATAACATTTTTTTATATTAGTTTCGAGGCCTTCACCAACCAAAAATTAAGAGTCATATTTTTTCTTCGGAAAAATCAAGCACACTCATCAAAATCACGCACACAGATAATAAATAAAAAAAAGTAATTTCATCGAAAAAACTTTGATGAATGTATGTACATTCTTAGCTTGACTTTCGTGCTACCTATTGCGCAGAAAATAAGGGTAATCAGCAAAGTTAATAGTTTGTCAATTCCGATTAGTTTAAACCAGTATGTAGAACTCAATAACAGATTAGTTTAAATCAGAACTCTGGAGTCGGTAGTTTAAATGTTAAACTATAACTCTGGACTCTCCCGAGAGCTCGACTCTGACTTAAACTCTAGAAAAATTTTCATCGAAAGGTGTTAATATTGTAACTAAGTAAAATTTAATTCCAAATTAGCAAAAATGTTATATTTTTATCTATGATTGGTATTAAAAGTATTTAATTTTAAAATTGGCTGGGATAGCCAGGTTGGCAACGGGAATTCGAATCCAGCCGACCGAAGACTCCCCGTGTAGTAAATGGTGACTGGTGCACGATAAGTATGTCGGGTCACAAAGTCCTCCATGTTCCCACAACAAATCACTACCTCTGTGGGTACTGAATTGGAGATTGATCGTTCTCTGGTTCAGGTCAAAATTACGATCAATGGATGAATAAATGGGTTTGCCCTATAAAGGGTGTGACGTATTTGTGTGGCGTCCCAGAAGTCTAATTCTTGGCTATAAATGACGCCCCTGGAAAACAAGAACAATCGCACTCCCTCAGTCTTAATAACCGACTACAACTGCAACAATTTAAAATTGAATTTTATATTGCAATATAATAATATTAAAAAATTAATGTTAAAATTTGTTTTTAATAAATATTGAAGTTGCTCTAAAGTATAAGAAAAGAGCTAGATTTAAATATATCTCACACACGCTCGCACATATACAAGCATCTTATGACACTCTTTATTAAACATTCATGAACAAGAGAACTATTAAATATCATACATTAAATTCACTTACCTATCTTTTTTAATTAACCCTGTCATTTAACCAAATAAAATTGGTTCTGGAATTAATAAATCAAAAGATAGCTTATGATCTGTTAATTAATGTCTATTTTTCAATAGGATCTCTTATTTTTTTCATAATTGGTTTCTTTCCAATAGTTTTATCTAACATGGGCTCAAAAACGCTAACATATTATAAATTAAGCTTTCTATAAGTCATAACACATTATATATTAAACTAATTTACACATATTTTTTCATTAACCTGTAATTTAACCAAATAAAATTGGTTCTAGAATTTATAAATTAATAAATAATAGTTTTTTATTAATGCTGATTTTTCAATAGCTTTAATAATTTTTGGGTTCTTTTACAATCAAACATAATCTTGAAAACTTTAAAATATTAAAAACAAAGCTTGCGATAATAACTTAAGTCTTCATAATTTAAATAATTCACTTAATATTTTGTTCAAATAATCATAAGTATTTACCTATATAATAATCATTAGATTAAAAATTTATTTTCTTTTTTTTTTAATTCCCCAATCTTAGACCCCAACTCCAGTAAAAAATTTTATTGACACATATATGTTTACTTCACACATATGTTTACATGCACAGTTTATTTTATTTTATATTTTATAAACATCGTTGAATAGTCGATCCAATTTTTGGGTTTACGACTACGAATGTTCAACTCCGAAGCCTTGTAATTTTGAACCCAATCCGGAAGACAAGGGAACTCCTGGATCAAGTATTGGGAGAAATTTGCCTTAGTGGAGAACTTTTTGATGGAACTAATCCGCATTTGCGTTACATGGAGAGGAAGACTACGAGAACCTCCCACGGTTAGAATGANAAATTTCATGAAATTTCGTTTTTGACAAAATCGTTTCGTGGTATATGCTCCGAGCAAACATTTCGTCAAAGTGACAAAATAATTGTTACTACTTTAAGGAAACAAGTTTCGTCAAAAGTATAGTAGTCATTTTTGTTTTGTTCAATTTATATTTTTTTTTTGGTTAATGGCGGGCACTTGGGTCGATTTCCCATTGGCCTCAGAAATGCCAGAATTGCTACTCTCTAACCGTTACCCAGTGGGCACCTATGGCCATGGCTAAGCCACGGCGGTGGAGTAGCGTTGCCCACGTCATACAACCACAAACCCGTTTATAGGGCGGGTTACAATCACACAGAAGAAAGGACATAGAACACACAGAGAGAGAAAGAAACATCAATGCCCTGAGCTGGTTTCGAACCCGTAATCATCGGTTCCTAATTCAAATATTATATCACATTTTTACATTTTATTTCAGGAAAAGTTTAAAAATACATTTAAAGAGTGCAGGACGAAAATGATCTCAGTGCGCTAGAGAAATTTAAAGAAAAGTAATGGAATAGCTGCAAGTGACGTACTGTGGGTACCTCGATTCAGATAGGTAGTTGAAACATGGCATTTGTTAACGTTAGCAACTGTTCTGCACATTCTATTTCGAGTAAGCCAAGCCCGTCAATTATAAATTCCCCTAAGTGGCACATTCTATATTCTTTCACAAAGATTCTTTCCCCAATATTTCTATTTTTTCACCACATATTACTTACTTAACACAAAAACAGGTACGAAGCTATGTTGGAACATAAACAAATTATGCATTCAAGTTATCAGGTACACAAAACAAAAATACAACAAAGTTTCAATAAAATACATAGACAATTAAAAGACTTCAGTTAAGTAAAAGACGCAAGCTAGAAATAATTATATGTTAACAAATTTGATGGACGATGCGATGTTAAGGAAAGATCATAATAAGGAGAATTTTTTTAATGAACTTACGAAAAAATGTTTCAGTTTAGATTGGGATACCTACAAGTGACGTAATGTGGGTATCTCTGTTCTGATTGGTTGTTGAAACGTGGCATTTGCTTAGTTAGCAACCGCTCTTTTTCATTCTATTTCGAGTAAGCCAAGCCCGTCAAGCATCAGTTCTCTTAAACGACACATTCTATATTCTTTCACAAAGATTTAAATCCTTTCACTAAATCTTTCTAGCTTAACACAAAGACAGGCGCGAAACCGTGTAGAACATAAACTAGTTATGTATCAAAGTTGCCAGGTACACCAAAATATAAATAATAGTATTAACTTATTAATAAATTTATTAGTAAATTTATTAATAATAAGATAATTATTAAAATAACATATTAATACATTTATTAATAATAACATGCAGTTAACTCAAAGATTTTATATAGAGTTTAATTACTTGAGTATCCGTTGTTTTTTATAAAATTTTGAAAGAGTTTATCTATTTGATTTTTGGTTAAACAAACATTACTACATATTCTTTTAATTTTATTAATTTGATTGAAAATGATATTTAAATAGATGTTAATTCCAAAAATAATTTGCATTTGATATTTATTTACTTTCAATAATTTTAAAACTTACTTTTTAATAATTATTTCCACTGCATTACCAGCTTGTCTTATAAGATGATATGCCTTATCAATGGTCATTGCTTTTGTGCTGCGACCAGCTACCTGCAGCACAGAATCACCAGCGTCCATATAGAAACTGCATAAACTTCCATCCAACACCTAACAAAAAAATAAAATATAAAATAAGAATTACTTTTTAAACTTTTTTTAGAAATATTAAGAGTTAAATGCAAACGCTCAGCTGTCTTTTTTAACACCTCTAAAAAAATTCATATAACATTTTCAGTATTAGTTTCTAAGCCTTCACCAACCAAAGATTAAAAGACGTAGTCTTTCTTTGGAAAAATCAAACACACTCACACACAAATAGTAAATAAAAATAAAAAAGTAATTTCATCCAAAAACCTTTGATGGATGTATGTACATTTTTAGCTTGACTTTTGCACAGAATTTGCCTATAACGCAGAAAATGAAATTAATCAGCAAAGTTGTTCGTTTGTCAATTCCGATAATTTGCCTATTACGCAGAAAATGAGAGTAATCAGCAAAGTTGTTCGTTTGTCAATTCCGATTAGTTAAAATCAGAACTCTAGAATGAGTAGTATAAATGTTCGACATGAACTCAATAACAGATTAGTTTAAATCAGAACTCTGGAGCCGGTAGTTTAAATGCTCGACTGCAAATCCGGACTCTCCTGAGAGCTCGACTCTGACTTAAACTCTAGGAATATATTTTTACTAAATATTGAAGTTACACTAAAGTATTATAAGAAAAGAGCTAGATTTAAATATATCTCACACACGCTGGCACATATACAAGCATCTTATGACATTCTTTATTGAACATTCATGAACAAGATAACTATTAAATATCATACATTAAATTCATTAACCTATCTTTTTCAATTTGCCCTGTAATTTAACCAAATAAAATTGGTTCTGGAATTAATAAATCAGAAGATAACTTATATGTGTATTAATGCTTATTTTCCAATAGGATCCATTATTTTTTTCATAATTGGTTTCTTTCCAATAGTTTAATCAAACATAGGCCCAAAAAAGTTAAGATATTATAAATTAAGCTTGCGATAAGTCATAACACAATATATATTAAACTAATTTACATATCTGTCTTCATTAACCTGTAATTTAACCAAATAAGATTGGTTCGGGAATTCATAAATTAAGAAATAGCTAATAGTTTTTTAATTAATGCTTATTTTCCAATAGCTTCAATAATTATTTGGGTTCTTTTACAATCAAGCATAATCTCAAAACCTCTGACATATTAGAAACTAAGCTTGCCATAAGTTATAACTTAAATTTTTATAATTTTTATAATTCACTTAATATTTTTATCCAAATAATAATAAATATTTACCTACATAATAATCATTAAATCAAAAATTCATTTTCTTTTAATTACCAAGTCTTAAACCCCAACTCCAGCAAATTTTGTATTGACACATATATGTTTATTTCACACATATATTTTCATGCGCAGTTTATTTTATTTTATATTTTATAACCGTCGTTGAACAGTCGATCCAAGTTTTGGGTTTACGACTATTAATGATCAATTCCGAAGCTTTGTAATATTGAACCCAATCCGGAAGACAAGGGAACTCCTGGATCAAGTATTGGGAGAAATTTGCCTTTGTGGAGGACTTTTTGATGGAACTAACCCGCATTTGCGTAACATGGAGAGGAAGACCACGAGAACCTCCCACGGCTAGCTTGACGGCAAGGGGACTCTAACCCATGATCCGTCTACCACTGAGGATATTTCACGTCAGCACTCTGGTCGGTGCAAGCCGGATGCGGAATTCGTATCCACCAGACATCGCCGGGATCGAACCCCGGTTCACCTCATTGGAAGGCGTGCGCTCTATCCCTTGAGCCATCGCGGCTCTACATGCACAGTTTAATGACAAGAACTTGAATAGGTCATACTACGTCAAACTTACGATAGCACATTATTGTAGGATGTTATATTTGCCTTTTTAAGTACGGGTGGGAAAATAGTGCATTTTATTTAGATAAAGCTAAAGCATTTTTAAAAAAAAAGTATTTAGGTAGAAATTATGACAACTAAACACCAATATCATCTTACAGACTGCTTCTTGAGCCATGCCATTATTTCCCACAAGTTGTTAACTTCGCTATAAATGTGTTACATAATAGGTGTAAGCATACAACTGGCGCCACAAAAAGTTATCTGCAAATTTTACTACTGATAAATTTGGAAAATAAAAAAAAATAATAAAATTTTCTCCCAGTTATAAAAAATGTTTACGAACTAATCAACTTTTCAACATGTTGACATCCCAAAAAACTTTTGAGACACTGGGGTGGAGTTAGAACGATGAAAGAAAAATGTGGATTATGAGATATGAAGATAATGAAGTTCCTTATTTGGTTCTTCTAATTAAACTGTATCCGAATGTAGCTTTTATTATTCTGCAAGGTCAGAATAGAAGATTTAAAAAAAAATTAGAGTAGTTAAAGCTGACGAATCGAGGTTATCCTAATAATTAATTAGTTTTTAATTAAAAACGGAGCGAAGTGTTTATCAAGGTCCAAAATACAAATGTGCTGCTCGCACTCGTAATTGAAAGTAAGTAGTTTTTATTTCTCTCTCTATGTGAGACAATAGGCTTATTCTGCTACTGGTAATACTAGCAACTTCAGAAGTAATTTTCTCCGAAACCGTTAAAGATGCATACGCGCTACTGTAACAGTGTGTGTTGTAAATTTATTTAGAAAGCTGCCGATCCTCAATTAAGACTCTAATTGTACGAGAATGAATTTTTTTTACTATGGTCTCTCTCACGTTCTTAAAAAACGTTATTGCTAAAACTACTATTTCTCAGAAATTAATAAAATGAAATTGTAAACATATTAGCTTATACATAAGCATTTCTCAAAAGGTGAGAACAATAATGTTATTAACAGCAAATTTTGAATTCTATTAATATTTCTACTATATGCGCTGATTATTTATTATGACCTAACAGTTGCAAAACATTAATTATTTTTATTTAAATAAAAAGTAATACTATAATACTTTTTTTCATTGAATTTTAGTGCAGAAGAAGTTATTTTGAACAGTAAATTTATGGAAAAAACTATTAGCAGTGAGCAGGTAAAATAATTTCGTACGTCACATAATTATAAAAAATAGCATTTTGTCACAAAAATTTGTCATAAAAGATGGAGAAAATAATTAAATGCTTAAAAAATTATTTTGAGTATGGATAAATACATTTAAAGAACGTACTTTAATCGATTTTCTGTTAAAATAACAGCGTGTCTCCTTACGTTCCTATTTCTCGCATACATCAAATCATCTTTTCATCAACAAAAAAAAAGTAATAATAAGTAAAAATTTCTACAAAATCCTAGAATAGCCTAACTCAAACGGACAAAAGAACCAGTTTTGACATTTATATTATATAAAACATCATGATATAAGTAGTGCTACATTTTTAACTGAATGTGAAATTTAAAGACAGAAAAACAGGAAGTGACCCTACTGCGCCAGACAGAGACGTTTTTATACATATCAATATAATTAAATCCTATGTAAAAATAAAAAGGAAAATTTAAGGAAAAGATAGTTAGGATTCACGGAATCAGTTTTTATTTTAAGCAATGTGACCCTCCTCTAAATTAATGTTTGAGTAACCAAAAAGTGTAATTTCTTTCAGAAACATAAAAACAATATGAAGAATTTCTAATTTTAAAACACTGAGAGTGGAAAAAGTTTAATATTGCAGCAACCTCAGTATAATGATCAGTTGAACCATGTAATTATCCTTTTTAAACTTGAATACATAGTAATATGGCTAAATTTGAAAGGAAGCATGTTTCAATTCAACACCTTATAATGGTTGCAGCTAACCTGCTTCGCAAAAAAATTCACAGTTGTGGGTTCAACGTTGACACCACTTTTCAAACGATGCACGATTTTTCTCTTCTGCAAAACTTTATTTTATTTATTGACATCTTATTATTTATTTATATCTTATTATTTATTTATATCTTATTATTTATTTACATCTTATTATTTATTTTTTTCATTTATTTTTTTATTATTTCCTTTTTGTATAAAGCTGATAATACCTGTCCAATAATTTTCAAACAAAGAAAACTTCATTTAATTATTTCCAAAGAATGATTTTTTTTAAATTTCTTCTCAATTCTTTGACGCAGATTGAACACCGGTTTTCCTTTTATATATAATTTTTTGATGCTCTAATTTACAGGCAAAAATATATTTTGGTATTTTTTAATCGCAAAAAATAATCTAATAGTTACTAAAAAATCTGTTAGATTATTTGAATTATATTTGTACTAAAACATAAAATCTAAAAAAGGTAGTTTGAAATGTTTTTATTCATATTCAAATATTCAAATATTTATCAATAATTGATTTTGTAAAATAAAGAATTTCTAAAATTTCTGAATAAAAAACAAGGAACAATGAATAGTAGTTTCTCTTAGATCTAAATAACTGCGAAGAAGTGCAAATTTGAAACTTTACTTTCTGAAAATAAGCTGTACTTGGGTGATTTTACCTTTAACACAAAAAAAAAAAGAAATCGGTATTTCATGCTGTATTTTATAACCATAAATTATTAAAATGCTAAATATAATATTTTTCATTTATTTTGATCTAAACTAACACAAAATCATGGAAAAGTTGGAAAAATATGTTGAATGAAAATTCTGCTTCAAAAGGTTAACGCTAAATAAACTAAAATCTATTCTTTTTAAATGACATATATTTTTCATGTTAAAGAATTAGATTTTTATACGCAGTAAGTTTAGGACCTAATCCCTCACTTGAAATGTGTTATTTCTAAAGTTTTCAATCAGGTTAAAATAACACTTCTTCAAACTGCGTTCACAAAAACAATCTATTTTTTGTTTCTGAAAGAATCAACAATAACACTTACAAAAACGCATTACTGGATTAAGTTCTAAATGAGCTTATCCAGCTTTTAACTGCTGCTCGCTTGTCCAAAGAACTCGCCATCTGTTTCTTTTGTATGCCTAATGTCTGTGCTCTTTTACTGGAATGTTTTTCTTCTTTGTAAGCATAAATTTGATCAATCAGACTGCACTACCTTAAAAACATTATATGAGCTACTCGT